CCGCCTGCTCTCGAGTCGTCTCGCCTCCTAGCCCGATTATCCCCGCCGGAGGAGCTCGGCCGCGGCGCGGGGACCGTCCAGCTCCGCAGCGGCGCAGGCGGCCGCAGTGACAGCCCCGTCCCGGCCCGCCGCCCGCCCGCCCTCGGTGCCCACAGCCACGATGAACCGGGGCGGCAGCAGCCCGTCGGCCGCCACCAACTACCTGATCTGTACCAACTGCCGGAAAGTGCTGCGGAAGGTACGGGCTCGGCCTGGGGTCCGGCTCCGAGGGGCGCTCTCCGCCGGCCTGGGCTCGGGCTGCTCGGCCGGCCGGGCGCGCTCCTGCAGCGAGGCTCCGAGGGACCCCGGGCACCTTCCCCCGCCGAGGCCGGGAAAGGGGGCGTGGGTGGAGGGTGCAGGGTGGAGGCTGCTGCTTTGTAGCCCGGCCGGGACAGACTCTGGTCCCCAGGGGTTGGCGATTTTTTTTTAACTTTTTATTTTTTTGGTAAGGGGGTGCTGTGTCCTGTGTTCCGGCTCATCTTACCTAACCAGCCGGCTCCTCGGGCGCAGGGCAGGGAGCGGGGAGGACCTGTTCGATTCTCCTGCCGGTGCTGTTGATGGAGGCCGGAGTGAAGTCGGAACGGCCAGGTCTGGTCTGGAGGAACCTGGCTCCCTCCCTCCTCCCGGTGGCTCTCTTTCTTGCGGGTGTTTTTGTTGACTCGGTTCCCTTCTGCCTCCCTGGCGTGCGCTCTCTCCCCTTAACACCCCCCCCCTTTTTTTTTTACATTTTTCTGATGGTCGTCTTGTGCCTATAACTCAATCATGCAAGGAATTGGTAAAGCAGCTTGAACTTTATGCCCATGGGAAATGCTATTCGACCTTACAGTTCCTCCGGCAGGGATGGGGCGGGGCGGGGGGGGGGGCGGGGGGGGCGGGGGTGAACGGGAGTGATCCCTTTTTTAGCAGCCCCTCCCCCGCTCGCGTGTGTCCCGAAAAATCGGACGCACCGCCAGCTTATTGCTTCCCGGAGTGACTGATGGAAAGTTTACTCCGGTATTGTTTGGCTTACTTGGCTTAATCGCTCCGTTAGAGGGAGGAGGAGGGGGGGGGGCATGTCGCTTTAGACCGAGAAGAGCTTTTAATCAGACTTTAACACTGGCCACTGGGTAATATCATAATCAATCTATTCTTTCCCAAACCCTGTTTTTTGCATGTCGTTAAGTGGGGACATTCGTGGCGGTGCTTCTGTTTGCCCAGGACAAATGAATTAAAATTGCTGAGTTGTGCAAACGCGTCGGGACTGAAGGACTAAGATGAATAGGGCACCCGTTTTTTAGTCCACTTCTCTAAATACAGTTCAGTTGGGATTGCTCTTTATATATTAAAACAAAAAAAGAAAGGAAGCAAGCATATAAGTAAGCAAGCTCAAATATTTGCGCTCTTTGTCCAAAAACTGTTTTTCTTCCTCTGTGGGTCAGGCCAAGTGCCAATCAAAGTTGTTTTTCAAGCCTCTTTTCCCTGCAGTAGGGCTGCTGCTTCCCTCCGCCTCCCCCCCCCCCCCCATTTTATTGGAGAGCATGAAGAAGGCAAAGAGATTGCAGATTTGAAGTTAATCGAACAGTTAAATATGTCTTAAATTGTGTTTATTGAGTATGTTTTTCTTGAAACAGATTTTTATTCAATGTTCACGTTGAGTATGTGCAGTTATTTTTTTCCATAAACTCTGGGATCAAATTACAGTTGATACTTGTTCAGCTCATTGTAGGGCAGCTTGTGAGAAATGTAATGGATCAGAAGTGCAGATCTGCTTAGTTCAATGTTAACTCTTTCGCTTCAGGGCCAGATGTCCTCTGAACTAAACTTTTTAAAAAATAATTATTATTTCCTAACTGTAAAAGTAGTAAGTTATGTCTTTAACGTGAAAAAAAAGGTGTTGTTTAATACACATTTGATTAAACTCCAGCCCGGTTAAAATACCTTTTTTTTTTTTTAAACTGAAGCAGCGGTTCTCAACCTGTGGGTCGCGACCCCTTTGGAGGTCGAACGACCCTTTCACAGGGGTCGCCTAAGACCATCCTGCATATCAGATATTTACATTACGATTCTTAACAGTAGCAACATTACAGTTACGAAGTAGCAACGAAAATAATTTTATGGTAGGGTTACAACATGAGGAACTGTATTTAAAGGGCCAGAAGGTTGAGAACCACTGAGAGAGAGCTATATTGATTTTGATGTTTTTTTTTTTTAGTGGCTCTGTCAATTTGGTAGGCGAATAAAATGTTTGGAGGGGACTTTTTTTTTTCTTTTGTGAGAACTATGGCTATGGATTCATCTTACTTTGCTACTAGCATTCTTTATATCTTTCTCTTAGCTTTTAGGAAACCATTTCTGTTTACCTAGAAAGAACATCCTCATTTCTAGCCATTATTAAAAGAAAAAGGTAAATGGAAAATGGATATTCACCATTTTTATAGTTTAATTACTATGCATACCTCTGCCAATATTCCAGTTTTTAACAACTCCAAGGGATATTTAATATTGATTCATGCAGTAGCATGAAATAGCTTTAGATGGAAATGGAATTGTTTGAGCCAGTTATGACATGACTTGGCAACATAAGTAGCTTTTTAAGAGTAGTATTCTTAAGTGCTCTTTAAAAATATCAAGTATTTAGCATTTTAAATTCTTTATCATTCTAAAAGCATGTAAGAGTTTATTTCTAATAGAGATGGTTTTCTTTTTGATACAAAGTATATATATATATAACTTTTTATACAAAGTATATAAAATTCATCTGCAACCCTCAAAATGTGATTCTCCACATTTATTCTGTTTTCTGTTTAATAATGTGTTTAGTAATAACCAAGTGAGTCATAGCATTTTGAATTTTTGTTGGGAAGAATGAAACTCATGCACACCCAGTGTAAATTACTCTTTGCAGTTATAATCCTCATTAATGATGGGGGAAGAGTCACCTTTATAGGTGGCATGATGCCTTTTTCTAAGTGGCTTAATTTGTTGAAGTGTGTTGATTTGGGGATATCTTCAAAAGGAACTGGATTCACCTTCACATGAAATAATTTGGTTTAACTCTGTATCTGAAAATTGAATTGTATATTGTATGAGAATCACATTTATTCTTAGAAGTGCCTTTATAATTTTGATTCAGTGTCCTCCAAAATAAAGAGACTTCCATATTTTGTGAATTCCAGAATCACTACATTAGCAGTTATGTTTTAGCAATTTATTTGGTGATGGGGGAAGTGGGAAGAGCAGTGGAATCCCTTTTACAAATGAAATCTTGTATTGAAACTGAACTATGAAGTACATAAATATACAAAACCATAATTTTTATGTGTTTTTGTGACAAAGTAACAACTACTGATAACAATAACTTTGTATCCTCACAAGTAAAAATTTAACATAAGTAGAGATGTACAGAATTGAATTTTAGCCCTGTACCAGAATAATCTTGTAGCAAAAGATAACTTTTTAAACAATGTTAAAATTTGATAAAACTTATCTTGGGATAGCAATATTTTTAAATTATAATTTTAAAATAATTTAAAATATACTTGAAAATTTAATCCAACTCAAGCATTTTTGAACACAAGCATTTTAGGGCTCCATAAAAAACAGCCTGCAAACCATTGCATATTGGATTGCTATCATAAATTCACTGCTTAATTTCTGCTTAGTTCATCCTATATAATAAAAGCATAATATGCAAATAGACTGAACAGTGGAATGACTGGTTACTATGACACGCACTGACCACCAGGGGGGCAGATGCTCAATGTACGAGCTGCCTCCTGGTGGTCAGTGCGCTCCCACAGGGGAAGCGCCGCTCAGCCAGAAGCCGGGGTGCCGAGTTCACAGCTAGCTGGTGGAGTTCACAGCTGGCGAGCATACCCTCTCCTGCCTCCCCTGTAGGCGAGTGGGAGAGGGGAAGGAGCGAGGGGTCTTGGACTGTGAGAGGGTGCAGGCGTGGCTGAGGGACTCCCTACCCCTCACTCCAGTGTAAGAATCTTGTGCACTGGGCCTCTAGTTTAAAATAAAACTGTAAAAAACTGCTCTTGACAATCAAAATTATGTACATAAGAAACCTGATTAACCAAGGTAGAATACAACCACTAATCCACAGTCATAGCAATTCTATTCTATTGGTTCAACCATATAAAATTGCTATTAACTGACAAATTTGACTAGAAAAATGAGGTCCATGTAGCGCAACCCAATATTTCTCATTTTATTTCACAGTCTCTTCACTTATAAACCCATAAAAAAAGGTGTCAAAATAAGTTACTATATAAGTAAGGTGGAAAAATGCAACAAACCAACAAACATATACCACTGGAACTACTAAACATACTAAGAATTTTTAAATGTTTAAACCTTTAACTTATGGTGCAGAGTTTTATTTACTTCAATAGCACTAACTGCTTAATAGCCTACTGTAATAGGCCACCTTTTATTTATTGGAAAATGAGTGGACTGACAGTGATCTACCTTTCTTAATGTAGTTTAGCACTCCACTTTAAAATATATCTAGTTGTTCCTGGAATTTCTTCAAGTAAAATGTATTACTCTTCAAAAATTCATTAACTTTTCCTTAATAAATACTGGCATTTCCTCTTTTGCCTGTAAATGAGAGGTAAAAATATGCGTTTAGTTAGAATGATCAATACTTTAAAATTTGTGCATATATATATATATATATTTGTATCCAACTCCCACTTAAATAATAATTCATTGAGTACCTTTTGGTTTTTCAAATAATTAAATAAAATTGCCTTTTGGACACTTTTAACAGTTGAGGGAAATTGGTACTCAATTTGAAAAGACTAATAGTTAAGGATGGTTGTGTTTAATAGAAGTTGGGGCAAATTGAGGGTAAAGCAAATAATTTTTAATTATTTTAATTTCAAAAATACAGCTAAAAGACGGAACGGACATCAACCAGAACCACAGGAAGGCTGGCTGAGGAGAGACTCTTCAACTAGAAGCAAAGACAACAGCATTACGAGGCTCAGAGGAGGCGCAGTGTGGAAAATTTAAAGGTACGGAGGTGCACGCGCAAAGCGGGCTGGTGGTTGAGGGCGTAGTTGTAGTTTTCAATCAGGAGGGAGTCTCAGACTCTGAGCTCCAGATCCGGGCGAGTCTCTAGGGACCCAGACTCAAACGGGAGAAGCGGGACTGTCTGGCTACGGTCCCTCCGAGGTTTGCAGCGGTTGCTGGGACAGAGAGGCAGAGCCC